CGAAAAATGGGGGGAAAAGAAAGGGTTAAAAATGGCGGGAGAAAGGGCGGTGACGTCATTGGGCCACGCCCCCCCCCCAGCCGGTCACGTGACGATGATGTCACACACACCCCCCCCGGGCTGATCCACCTGCGGCGCCGCACGCCCGTCCCCGCCCTGCTGCTGACGGTGGGAGAGGGGGTTTGGGGTGAAAAACCGGGATTTTGGGAAAAAAAATGGGATTGGGGGAAAAAAAAATGGGGAAAATCGGTGAAAAAATGGGGAAAATAGAGCGAAAAATGGGGAAAAATGGGGTTAAAAATGGGGAGGAAAGGGTTAAAAATGGGGAGGAAAGGGTTAAAAATGGGATTTGGGGTGAAAAACCGGGATTTTGGGAAAAAAGGGGAAAAATGGGGAAAATCGGTGAAAAAATGGGGAAAATAGAGCGAAAAATGGGGAAAAAAGGGGTTAAGAAAGGGTTAAAAATGGGGAGGAAAGGGTTAAAAATGGGGAGGAAAGGGTTAAAAATGGGGGTTTGGGGGAAAAACTGGGATTTTGGGAAAAAGGGGAAAAAAAATGGGGAAAAACGGTGAAAATTTGGGGAAAATCGGTGAAAATTTGGGGAAAATAGAGCGAAAAATGGGGAAAATAGAGTGAAAAATGGGGGAGAAACAGGGAAAAAGGGGTTAAAAATGGGGAGGAAAGGGTTAAAAATGGAAGTTTGGGGTGAAAAACCGGGATTTTGGGAAAAAAAATGGGATTGGGGGAAAAAAAAATGGGGAAAAACGGTGAAAATTTGGGGAAAATAGAGCGAAAAATGGGGGAGTTACGGCAAAAAATGGGGGAGAAATGGGGAAAAAGGGGTTAAAAATGGGGAGGAAAGGGTTAAAAATGGGGGTTTGGGGTGAGAAACGGGGATTTCGGGAAAAAATGGGATTTGGGGAAAAAACGGTGAAAATTTGGGGAAAAACGGCGGAAATTTGGGGAAAAACGGTGGAAAAATGGGGAAAATTGAGCGAAAAATGGGGAAAAAGGGGTTAAGAAAGGGTTAAAAAATCGGATTTGGGGTGAAAAACGGGGATTTTCGGACAAAAATTTGGATTTTGGGGAAAAACGGTGAAAATTTGGGGAAAAACGGTGAAAAAATGGGGAAAATCGAGCGAAAAATGGGGGGAAAGAAAGGGTTAAAAATGAGTTTAAAAAGGGGAATTTTGGGGTTAAATTTGGGAATTTTGGGGTGAAAACGGAGAAATTGGGAGAAAAATGGAATTGGGGAAAAATGGGAAAAATGGGAAAAATGGGGAAAAAATGGGGAAAAAATTGGGGAAAAAATTGGAAAACAATGGGAAAAATGGGAAAAAAATGGGGAAAATAGGGAAAAATGGGGGAAAAATGGGAAAAAATGGTAAAAATGGGGAGAAATGTGAAGAAAGTGGTGAAAAAATGGGGAAAAAAGAAGAGAAAATGGGAAAAATGGGGAAAAATTGGGAAAAAAATGGGAAAAATGGGGAAAAATGGGAAAAATGGGGAAAAGTGGGAAAAATGGGAAAAAAATGGGAAAAATGGGGAAAAAAAGGGAAAAATGGGGAGAAATGGGGAAAAATGGGAAAAATGGGGAAAAAATGAGGAAAAATGGGGAAAAAAGTGGGAAAAATTGGGAAAAAAATGGGAAAAATGGGGAGAAGTGGGAAAAAATTGGGAAAAAATGGGGAAAAATGGGAAAAATTTGGGGAAAATTGGGAAAAAATGGGAAAAATGGGGAAAAATTTGGGGAAAAAAATGGGAAAAAAATGGGAAAAACCGGGAAAAAACCCCGGAACGTGAAGAATCCCAAAAATCCGTGAAAAACCCCAAAAAACCCCGCGAAAATCATAAAAAATGGGGGGAAAAAACCAAAAACCCCAATTTTGGGCTTTGTTAGGGCGGGGGAGGGGCGTTTCCGGAAGTGGGCGTGGCCTGAGCGGAGGCCCCGCCCCCCCGGGTGTTCGCAGTGCGCGTCCACGCTGCTGATGCTGGTGACGGGCGATATTTACACGCTGATTAATTACGTGGGCTTCGTTAATTACACGTGGTACGGCGTCACCGTGGCCGGGCTGCTGGTGCTGCGGCGGAGGGAGCCGGAGCTGCCCCGCCCCATCAAGGTGAGACACGCCCACTTCCGGGGAGAAACCACACCCACTTCCGGTCACAAACCACACCCACTTCCGGTCATAAGCCACGCCCACTTCCGGGAAAGAAACCACACCCGCTTCCGGGGAGAAACGCCCACTTCCGGTCATAAACCACACCCACTTCCGGTAGGAAGCCACGCCTATTATTGGTCTTAAACCACGCCCACTTCCGGGGGAAAACCCACTCACATCCGTTGGGAAGGCACGCCCACTCACGGTTTAAATGAACCCATTTCCGGTCATAAACCACGCCCACTTCCGGTCACAAACCACGCCCACTTCTGGTCTAAGCGCAGCCACTTTCGGTCATAGACCACGCCCATTTCCGGTCATAAACCACGCCCACTCCCGGTCACAAACCACGCCCACTTCTGGGCCAAACACGCCTACTTTCGGTCTTAAACCACGCCCAGTTCCGGTCATAAACCACGCCCACTCCCGGTCATAAACCCCGCCCACTTCATCATCAAACCTCGCCTCGAACTCATCCCAAAATCCCCAATTTTTGGGAAAAAATCCCCAAATTTTGGTAAAAAACCCCAATTTTTGCCTTAAAAATCCCAATTTTTGCCCCAAAACCTCGGGATTTCCACCCAAAATTTGGGGAGTTTTTTGAATTTTATCTTTTGGGAAAAAACCCCAAATTTTTCTGCAAAAAATCCCGAATTTTTGGGGTAAAAATCCTCAATTTTGGGTCTCCTGTAGATGGCGCCTCCTTGTGGATTCCCACGCTCCAAAAACTTCAATTTTTGACCTAAAAACCTCAAATTTTCACCTAAAAACCCCAAATTTTCACCCAAAAACCCCGAATTCTTTCCTAAACTCCTCAAACTCATCCTAAAATCCCAATTTTTGGGGAAAAAACCCCCAAATTTTGGTAAAAAACCCCAATTTTTTACTTAAAAAATATCAATTTTTGCCCTAAAAATCGCATTTTTTGCCTTAAAAACCCCATTTTTTTTCCTAAAAATCCCAATTTTTGCCCCAAAACCTCGGGATTTCCACCCAAAATTTTGGGAAATTCTGGGAATTTTATCTTTCGGGAAAAAAACCCCAATTTTTCACAAAAAACCTTGAATTTTGGGCTAAAAATTGATGATTTTGGGGCTCATGCAGTTGGCGCCCCCTAGTGGATTCCCACGCTCCAAAAACTTCAATTTTTGACCTAAAAACCTCAAATTTTCACCTAAAAACCCCAAATTTTCACCCAAAAACCCCAAATTTTTTATAAATCACCCCAAACTCATCCTAAAATCCAAATTTTTGGGGAAAAAATCCCAAATTTTGGTAAAAAACCCCAATTTTTTACTTAAAAAATATCAATTTTTGCCCTAAAAATCGCATTTTTTGCCTTAAAAACCCCATTTTTTTTCCTAAAAATCCCAATTTTTGCCCCAAAACCTCGGGATTTCCACCCAAAATTTTGGGAAATTCTGGGAATTTTATCTTTTGGGAAAAAACCCCAAATTTTTCTGCAAAAAATCACGAATTTTTGGGGTAAAAATCCTCAATTTTGGGTCTCCTGCAATTGGCGCGTCCCTGGTTAAAAAAACTTCAATTTTTGACCTAAAATCCCCAAATTTTCACCTAAAAACCCCAAATTTTCACCCAAAAACCCGAAATTTTTTATAAATCGCCCCAAACTCATCCTAAAATCCAAATTTTTGGGGAAAACCCCCCAAATTTTGGTAAAAAACCCCAATTTTATACTTAAAAAATATCAATTTTTGCCCTAAAAATCCCATTTTTTGCCTTAAAAACCCCATTTTTTTTCCTAAAAATCCCAATTTTTGCCCCAAAACCTCGGGATTTCCACCCAAAACTTGGGAATTTTGGGAATTTTGGGGAATTTTGGGGATTTTCGGGAATTCCGTGTCTCCCCAGGTGCCCCTGGTGCTGCCGGCGCTGTTCCTGCTCTTCTGGGCGGGGCTCCTGCTCTTCTCCCTGTGGGCGGAGCCTGTGGTGTGCGGGGTGGGCGTGGCCATCACCGCCACCGGGGCGCCCGTCTATTGGCTGTGCCTGCGGAGGGGGCGGGGCCAGCGCGGGACACGCCCCCTGCAGGGGATGAGGAGGAGGATGGGTGAGGAGGGGGAGGGGTTAAAGAATGGGG